CTGCGAGGTCCGGCGGGAGTGGTGGCGGTGCGCAGGGCTGCGTGAGTGGCGTGACGCTGACGGAGTCGGTGACGATTGGCGACGGGCGTGCGACGGCGTGCTTCGACTCGGTGGTGTTTAGCGGGCCGATCACTGTGGCGGTGGACCTGCGCTTGTTGGACGCGTTCGCTGACGCGCTGAACGTGACGCTGCGCCACTGCGTGCTTGCGGGCGGTGCGCAGCTGCGGATTGGTGGCCTCGGCGAGAGCACTGCGCGCCTGATGCCCCACGCTCTCGTCAACATGAAGAATGTGACGTCGCTGGAGGGCGTGATTGTGCTGCATGGCGCGATGCCGCTGCACTCGAGTGTGCTGCTGGAGAACTCGACGCTGCGCGCGACGGTTGGTGGGTCGCAGTACGTGCCGACGACCCCTGGCCACGAGGGATTTCGGTACGGCCCCGCGCTTGTCCTGGACGGTGTCCGGCTTCTGTCGACGCGGTTTGTCATGACGCGGTCTACGCTGGTGTGTGGCGGGGGTTCGTGCGCTGCGATCCTTGTGGAGCACCGCCTTGACGTGAGCCTGTCCAGCGTCTTCTACATGGACAATTGCGTCGTCAGGTCGCGGACGCACGTGATGTACGCCCTTGCGTCGGACCTGCGTGTTGGCAGTGGCTCCGTGTTCTCCATGCAGAACAGCTCGTGGAGTGCGCCGAGCATCGAGTACTACGAAGGTGCTTGTGTGTTTGAGGATGTTGCTGTGGCTGGCGGTAGCGTGCTGCAGATTGTGTCCAGCGCTTTCCGTCTCGGCTTCGCCATGCTCATTGCAAACGCGCTGACTGTGACTGACGGCAGCTGGCTGGTGCACCGCGACAACGAGTTCCGCACCGCCTACGTTGTGTACGTGGCCAACGAAAACGGCGTTGCGTTTTGCGATCGGAGTGTGTGGTCGATACTTTACAACAACTTCACGTACGGCTTGTACTCGGCCTTAACATACATGACAAGCGACTGGTCACCAGCGTCCGAGTCGCGCCCGATCATCTACGGCGTGTGCAATGAAGCAAGGGGCTCTCCCGTGACGAATTACCAAGAAGAGCTCAATATTGGGGTACCCGTGACGTCGCTGGACTGTGGCGCGTGCACCATAGACGCCGTGTGCTTCGCTGCGAGGACGAGCAGCATCAGCGGCTGTGAGTGTGTGTGCGCTGCTGGCGGCTACGGTGACACTTGTCTGCCAGCTGCGGTTCCGGAAGGCCTTGGGCCGCTCCCGCTCCCCGATGCGGACGACACGGAGGTCCGCTGCGTGCACGGTGGCAGCATCAGCTCCGTGGACGATCCTGATCCCGGTGTGCACGGTCTTTGCCTCGTCAACGTGACCTTTACCGCCGCGATTGTGCTGGACCTGTCGTATTTTGACGCGCCACAGCAGACGCTCAACATCACGCTGCTGCAGTGCGTCCTCATGGGTCTGTCGATCAAGGGGAGTGGTGCGCGCGTGCACGTGAACGTGACATCCTCGATGTTGGATGCTGGTGCGTTGGAGTTTGAGGGTAGTTTTGGTGCGAGCTCCTTGATACTGGTGGTGGGCAGTACGCTTGTGTCGACGTCGAGCCACGTCATTTCCTTTGTGGAATTTCATCCCGGGACAAACTTGATGCTGCTGCTACTTGACAACTACATTGAGGGGAATAGTTACGCAGTCTATTTCACCAATGCTTTTGTTGTTGATGGTGGCGGGATCATTATGAAGGGAAACGTGCTGCGTACGATGGAGGATGAGGGTATGGAATCATCTGTTTATGTTTACGCTGTTGATGTGAGGAACGGCGGCTACTTTGACGTGGAGAATAACAAGATGAACTCGGCTAATGGCGTCATTCTTTTTGGGGATACCACCGTGAGCTCCGCGGGGCTGCTGCGAGTGGCGGACTGCACCTTTGCTGGCATCACACTGTTTTTTAAACCTGCGCTGGTGCATTTTGACGGCTTGGTAACCCTCCAGGGTGGAGCGCAGTGGCGTGTGGAGGGCAACAGCGTGACTGCAGCCTCAGTGATAGGTATGCCTAATTCCTTGTACAAAATGAGGCTGTCGGGCAGCGGCACCACCGTGGTTGTTGCACACAACCGTCAGGTGGACGATAGCTGTCCTTTTGCTAAAATGGCTCCGTCGAACATGATTGTGGTTTCACCCGCGCGGTTTGTGGTTGGGTGCAACCTGCAGGGCGATGAGGAGGTGTCGTACGACGGTCTGTTTCCTGAGGACGTGATGGTGTTTAGGTGCGGCACATGCAACGGTGACGCGGCGTGCTACATGCCTGGGACGGAGTTGGTGGACCGCGGCTCGTGCTCGTGCAGCTGCAAGGACGGATGGCATGGCGCGTCGTGTCTTCCCTTTGAGGTGCCCGACGCGGCTGTGCCACCCGTGGCGGAGAGAGCCGTTGACGGCGACACGAGCTGCGTGGTGAACCAGACGCTGACGAACCTCACGCTGAACGTGTGGAAGATGCAACACTGCTACGTGGATGTGACATTCAGCGGCGTGGGTGCAGTGCTGACGTTCTCCCTTAACAGTATGCCGCTGCATCTCCCCATCAACATCACGCTCACTGGATGCACATTCCGTGAGGGTGCCGTGCTGCAGTTTGTTGGGGGAGCTGAGGCGGCGGAGTCGGCTGGCGTCCTGATCCGCGTGAGCCAGACGGTGATGCGATCCTCTGTTGTTGTGTTTGCACTCGCCCTCCCGCAGCACTGTGACATTGCCGTCACGGAGGTTGACGCGGTGCAGTCCTCTGAGGTCCAGCTTTTGGACAATAGGATTAACATGTGGAGCGTTATGATGCTGCGGGACGTCGTGTAGAGTGCGTCCTCGTTGTTGATCAGCAAAGTAAAGG